GGGCTGCACTTTGTGGCAGGGGAGCTAGTGTGGGTCTATTCACCTATCCGGAAGAGAGGCAGGTGCCCCAAACTGGACAGTCACTGGGTTGGACCGTGTGTAGTCCTGGAGCGATTGGGGTAAGTTGATTACCGGGTACAGTTGCCCCCTCATGGACGCCAGGTAGCTTTACACCGGGATGGTCTCGCACCTTACAGGGGCAGCTCTGCTCCATACTAGGTCAGAACGAAAGAAAACCAGCCACGCTGTCTTTTTTCAGAGGAGAGTGCTACAAGCAGTCCAGAGGACACTGGGGCTGGGCAGAGATTGTCTCCACAGTCGGAGGACGGGCACATTGGGGAGGTCATAACCCCTCGGCGCCCCAGAAGGCAGCGACAACTTTCACCAAGGTTCAGAGACTTTGTCCTCGGGGTCGAGGACTCTACAACGGGGGGGGGATATTGTAGCGTGTTCACTGGTTAGATTGTTCCAGTATCATTTCTAGAGTTGTACATTTCATACAACAGCATGGTAATTAGATGTTCACGACAGTTTTCGACAAAGAGGAGGGGCTGGGAGGAGGGTAAAATAAGGAGGGAGAGAGTTTTTTTTCCTTTCTGGTTGGTTTTGCTCTCTGTACGGCGTGGCTGTGACCTACAGCAGCTACTGAATAAAAGTTGTTCTTTGAGTTTACCAAAGACTCATCCTTGATCTAAATCTCCACGCACAGACGAAGAAGCGTTACAATATAAATCCAGTCCACGTTTTCACTGCAACCCAYGATGTTACACACAAGGACATGCCAGGTTGTTATCCAGTCCGTGTTTTTGCACCAACCCTCCATCTACCTGTAAACAGCAGCTGTGAGGAGCRGGAGAAGATGCAGATGGAGAAGCCTGGTGTGCGCCCCCTCCCATATTAAAAAAAAAGAGAAAGAAAAGAGGTGAGCTGTGAGCAGGTAAAATTAACAAACATGTTAGAAAGAAGGGAGAAAGAGATGGATGGAGCAGAGAAACTAAGAGGGGAAAATGAAAGAATTTGTGYGAGATGCAGCCTAATGAGTTAAATAAACAGATATAGTCTGTGATGAAGGGGCCGAGGTCAGGCTGGAGCCAGAGACACACAGRCCCAGGTCAGCAGCTCTGTCTACATCCATCATCCCAGACTGAGATTATATGTATGTGTATGTGTTCATGGCTCACAGAACATTAAACAGCATATAAGAAATGTTACACCATACCTGCAGAAATATTTAATCCGTTAAAATAACAAATTAAAATCAATTCATACTAACTGACCAGAAAAAATGCATATTTTCTTCATTGTGAAAGAAAATATATATCAAGTAATAATCTGTTTTCTTCTTCTGTTGCTACATTAATATATTATTTTTACCAGCTCAAGAAAAATACATTTCACTGAGTAGTTCATGTATTGTTGTATAGAGATTTTGTTATGTGTTTKTWTTAYAACACTGAATTCTTTGCAAAAGTGTTATAAATGTATGATTGTCGCTGTTATTGTTATTAGCAGCTGAAAAGACCAGAGTCAGTCATGAAGTTTGATTTCAGTCATAAAAGTGAAGAGGAGGAGGAAGGGACAGATGAGGAAGGAGAGGAAGAGGAGGAGATGTAAGAGTAGAGAAGGAGATTGAGGAAGAGGAGAAGAGGGGGCAGGAGTCAGGACCCACAAAAACGATATATTGGAAGTAATTTATTTCTTAATATTTGCTTTGTTTTTTTATGAAAAGCTGCTTGTTTAATAAGCTTTTATAAACTGATTTGTGTTTGTATTTGTATAATTGAACACATAGGCAACACACACAATGGGTTTGATTWTAGAAACAGTGTTTTTATACTGCAAATCAAGTAATCGTGTAAAAATCAGGTATTCATGTTAAAATTATGGTTCCACTTGCATCCGTGKTGCGATCAGATTAAAGGCCTCCAAACCAAACCCTCAGGCTGAATTTAAACCTCAGCCTCTCCTGACCGTGAGTGAAAAATTTCTGACATAACTTGTAACATTTTTGACTGAACATAAATTATAAAATGCWTTTCGTAGAATTCAACAGTTACTCTAAACATAACATGTGATCAAGAAGATGTTTAATATTGACATATTCAACYTTTAAATCTGACACAGGTCTATAAAGCAGTCTTACTCTTACGTGTTTTGAAAAGTTGGCAGCTCTGAATACCTCATGCGCAGACAGCCAAGTGGGACTACTAAGAACGCAGAAGCTGTTAGTTCCAGTAGCCCGAGGAAAAACACGCTTTTTTTGTGATTTATCATAAAACCCAAACTGAGCAAGTTCTGAATGAATATTTGTGAGTGGATCATAACCTGAAGCTTCTGCATTTTAAGGCTTTTAGAACACAATTTTTATGGCAGCGTTTTTTTTTTTTTCTGTTCAAACAGCGAGAAACAGTAATAGTTTCAAAATGTCCTCCCTGAGAGTTATTCTCAGATATAATGTACAGAGTAGTCAAAATTAGGTATGGAATCTAAAAGGATAAAAAGGAAAAAAATACTATACATACCAATGTGTTCAATGTTGGAATTAAATGTTGKCATTTTAGAGAATATTAATGTCACTCTTTATCTTTATTATAATATAATACCATTTTTTCCCAGTCAGATGGTGAGGGAATGCAGTCTACATGAGATGAAGTCAAAAGTCTGGGGACCAGTTAGGAACTGGACTTTCCTTTCATGTTTTCTTTTTTTTAACTCACTCAACAAATGTTTTCTTCTCCCTTAAGCTGGTTTCTTCTTAGAATCCATAGCTGCAGTGATCAAATCATCAAATTTAGCTTTTAGAAATTGAAACAGAGTAGAAGTGTCAGAGCAGCAAAGAAACAGTGGACTTGTTTTTTTAATTTACTACATTAATATAC